CCCAATCCCCCCCCCAACAGCCCCAATCCTCCCCCGTCCATCCCCCTCCCTAACCAATATCCACCATACTCACCCCCAACTCATGCAACACCGGATAACCAACCAACCACCAAAATTCATCAAAGCGCAACCTCCCTCCCTTTCTCTCCACCTCATTCCTCCCCCCTTCTCTCTCTCTCTCTCTCTCTCTCTCTCTCTCTCCCCCAAGACACCCCACCCAAAATTCTTCTGGTTCCTCTTCAACCTTCTGAGTTCTTCTTTCTCTCATATGCATTTTTTGTTAACTAGCCCTGAATTTTTCAAATATGTAATTTGCTCAAATTGCAATTACAAGGTATCGCTGCTCAGTTTTTGTTACAAACTCGGAATTACAAGGTATCGCTGCTCTTGCAAAAACACTAGTTGAGACAAAAAAGGATAAGGCATATCCACTAGTTTATCTTCTCATAAAATTGGCGTTAACACTTCCAATTGCAACAGCTTCAGTAGAAAGGGCATTCTCTGCTATGAACATCGTGAAGAACAGAATGCGTAATCGAATGGGAGACCAATGGATGAATGATTGTTTGGTAGTATATCTTGAAAAAGACATATTTAATAGTATTGATAATGAGCTTATTATGCAACGTTTTCAGAATATGAAAAGTCGTCGAGGACAATTGTAAATTTACTTATTAGATGATGCTATTAATATTCAAAGTTTGAAATATTTTTTGTTTGATTATATATTGGTTGAATTTTTTTAAGCCCTCAGATGAACGAAAGTTTGGGTCCGCCACTGTTTCTCTCTCTTTTTCTCATTTGTTTTTTTGTTTGTTTGATTTATCTCTTTTTTTCTTGGTTTGGAGAGAGATGTCAATCTAACATCCCTCTCTCTCTCTCTCTCTCTCTCTTTGGTCGGCGAAGCTATAAACTTGCGACGCAAGGAGGCATGAGTGGTGGTCGGTAGATGGTGGGTGGGTGGGTAAGAGGATTAGGGCGATTGGGTAGGGTTTTTAATTATAGATATTTATAAAAATACCCAAGCACTATTTAAACATAGAAACATACTCAAAATGGGTTTTGGGTATGTGTGTAATGATGAGTTTTGGGTATGTTTATAAATGGGTTTTGAGTGTGTGCAATGATGAGTTTTGGGTATGTTTATAAAGTGTTTTGGGTGTTGGGTATTTTTATAATTTTAGCCCCCATTTTTGGTATTTTAGTGAAACTCCGTATAATTTGAATATATTTTTTCTGATTTATTTTAATTTTTAGTTATTTTTAATTATTATAATATTTAATTATATTTTTATCTATGTGGAGGTGGGTCCACTTGCCACGTCACTCACCTAATTGCTGGATAATGATCCGTGTGTATGAAATTACAAAAACTCCCCTGTCACGTTATCAAAGTTAACAAATTTTTAGATTGAATTGACAACAGGGGCAATGTGGGTCACCAAATCTTGATAAAAGAATGAAAGTGGGCTATTTTAAGTTTGGGTGACAAAATAAGATTTGACTAAAGTTTCGTGGAGTACTGTTGTAATTAAGACATTTTGTAAGAATGAAAGTGAGCCTATTAGAAGTACTATTTTGAGACATTTTGTAAGAAAATCGCACGCTACAGGACTAGGTAAATGTTTAACTTGAAAACGATATTGTTATTGGATCAATTAGTAGGAAGCCACGTGTCCGTCTCTCTTTCTGTTTCAGTACCCTCTCTGGTCTAATCACAAGTTCACCTTTCTCTGTCTCTCTCTCTCTCATACTGAATACTGATGATAGCAGTGACTCTCTTCAATCAAATCATTTTCCAGAGGAGCTTGGCTGGCTCCACCCTACCACTGTTCCCACGTGCGCTCCCATGTCCATCCATTCCCTCTCACGTGCCACTTTGCTCTCTCTCTCTCTCTCTCTCTCTCTTTCTCTCTTCTCTCTCTGAGTGAACTTAAAATTTGCAGCCTTTTGCTTAATCACTTTAACCCCATTGGTGTAGAACAAAAGAAACCCAGAGAGAACCCTTCACTGCTCTCTCTCTCTCTCGCTGTCTCTCTTCTGAAACCCCTTTCCTCTTATATATGTGATACCCAACCAGCAGGCAACTCCTACAGCCTGTTGCTCCCCCATTTCTGTGAAAATCTCTTACCCCTTATATATATATAGACACACACATATAAATACACTAGCAGCTGGTCCTTTATCTCTGCCTATAATTTGTACCCAATATTACCACCAAAACTATCCAAACCCAAAACCCATCTCTCTCTCTCTCTCTCTCTCTCTCTCAGATCAGTGGAGAAGAGATATGGAAATAGGTGGGAACATGAACATGAACATGTTAGGGCTTGATCATAATAATAATAGTCACATAAGCAGCAGCAGCAGAGGGCAAAATGGTAATAACAACACCTACCTCACCAATTGGGATATATGGGGTCGTGCTACTTCTACTTCTGCTTCTGCTGCTGCCACTGACAACAACTCATTCTACTCTCCGGCCGCCGTCACTGTGGCAGCCACGGGGGGGGCTTCCAGCTCCGCCACGTGCTCCGAGGCCAGCGCCGGCGGTCACGCGTTCATAATGGGCCATCCCTTGCAGCAGCAGCACTCTAGTTTCTACGGCGGCGGGGCCCTCTCCCACTACCATCCGGACCCACACCTGATGTGCTTGAAGCTGGGGAAGAGGCACTATTTCGAGGATCATGCTCGAGCTCATGCTCATGCCCTGGATGATCGACACGTGGCGGGGCTCCCGGTGGGCGTGATGAGCAAGAGAGGCAGAGGAGGAGCGGCTGCAGCGGCGGCGGCGGCGCAGCAACTGTATGGGAGCGGGGCGACTTTGGCGTTGAAGGTGGTGCCGCGGTGTCAGGTGGAGGGTTGCCACGTGCCGCTGATGAACGCGAAGGAGTATCACCGGAGGCACAAGGTGTGCGAGATGCACTCCAAGGCTTCCAAGGTCACGGTGTTGGGCCAAGAGCAGCGCTTCTGTCAGCAGTGCAGCAGGTTACTTCCTTTTCATTTCTTCTTTATTTTTGAGCTGAATTCTTCTTCTTATTATTATTGTTATTCTTATGGATAAAGTTGTTAATCTGAACTACAATTCCTTTCCATTTTTATTAATATTTTAAATATTTTAACCATTTTTTTCCAGAAAAAGAAAAAAAAAACTGACACTAAGTGGAAATTGCCATCTTGAACTTGATCATTAGAGAACAATTGTTTTTGGTTTATCATCACTTGTTAGAACATTAACTAAGTGCAAATTACCATAATTTCTTTGAAGAAGTATGAATGGGAGGCTAAACTTTTAGACCGGAAAAGAAACAACTTTATTCTTGATACCATATATATTAATGTTTTCTTGGCCTAAAGTAGTAAAACCACTTATTTATGACTGCATTTTTCAATCACTAATGCAGTTCAAAAATCCGGTCCTTCTAACATTATTCTTTTACTACAAAAGAGACAAAAAGGCGAATCGGATTCTAATTTTGACCTTAGTTTCGATCAGTTTCCTTTTGTTCTAAAAATGTGATCCTTTATTGAACTGGACAGTACGGTGCAACATATTTATAAGACACAATTGGATGTCGAAACAGTTTTTGATTTCTCTAATTTTTTGCAAGGATGATCTATGAATGTAGACTTAAAAAATAGATGGTTTGGATCGTTGAAAAAAAAAATCGTAGGAGACCTTAAAGGACATCCTGCAAATAAAATTATTTGAGGGATCTTTCAATAGAAGGGGACTGTATATATATAAAGTGTAAAAATAGGATGAAATAGGGGGAATCAAATCTTTTATTTTGTGTTGTTTTTGCTTGAGTTTCAATAATAAAAACTTACAAGACAATTATTGGGTTATGAAGTGGACTTGTTTTTTCCAATAAGCTTTTGAGCCTCAAGAAGAATTTTATTTCTGCTTTAATTGTAAGATCATGACAACTTTTAGTAACTTTGATGAAGATCACAGGATGATGATTCTTTTAAAAGGGCTTAAGCCAACCTTTTAGCAATGTTTTCGTATACATTCGCTCATACATCAGAATTAGTCTGATGCATTCAATAATGTCAGCAAATGTTCAAACAGAAGAAAAAAAAGATTCATCACACTTTATTATATATTTTTGGCAATAGTTGGTATTATTAAGATGATGATGATGTTGGTTGTTCTAAATTCTAATGGGTGGGTAAATCGGTAAATGGGTATAGGTTTCATGTAGTGTCAGAGTTTGACGAGTCTAAGAGGAGTTGTAGGAGGAGATTAGCTGGCCATAATGAGCGAAGACGAAAGAGCTCTCATGATTCTCTATCCAGAACTTCTTCTCAAGGTGTGTACATTTCTCTCCTTATCGCGTTCTTAATTTTTCTTGTTTTGTTTTTAGCTTTCTTGATAATTTTCTTTTAGAAATTCTTTAGAGATTCTTTGAGTCTTTCCGAATCGATGTTTGCCATTGCGAATTTAGTTTCCGCCAAAAGAAAAGAGATTATAGAAAGGAAAACCCTATTGCTAACCTCCGATATTAATGAAAGGAAAACCCTATCGCTAATCATGGAGAATTTCTCTTTTTGTGAACAGAAAACGGGAGGTTTGGATACTTATCAACTCCGACAGGACGTGCTCTCTCTCTTCTGTCATCCAGGAACACTGGTTTTGATTCCTGGGTATCTCCCTCTGATCTCTCCTCAAGATCTAGTGCTGCACTTCGTGAGCTCATTGCCGAAAACCGCGCAGCCGTCTTGGCTCGCCAGCTCATTAATGCATCGGAAGACAGAAACTGGGATTCATCGTCACATAACAACCAAGCAACCGAAGATTTGTTTTGTGATCATGGCCAATCATGGTCCAATTCAGTCGAACCACAGCAGCACCAGATGTTTTCTGATCATAATTATCCACATGGTTGGGACAGGTTCCATGAGGGCAGTGGTGCGCATTTGACGCTTGATCTCCGGCAAGCTCCGAGTCCGGCATACGGCTTCTTGCCTGAAAGGGGCAAAACCAAGGCTGAAGAAGATCAAGAGTGTGATTTGTGGAACTCCTTTCACGGAGCCAGTGTGGTCTAACCTTTTTTTTGTTTTTTTGTTTTTTTTGTTTTTTTTTGGTTGTGAAAAGGTAGATAATTCTTTGATTGCTTTGTTTTAGTGTGAGGTCAGTTAGCCAATTAGACAAATTAGGGCGAGAAAATTTTCCAGATTCATGGTATGTAACACCGTGCCGCGTGTGGATGTGGTGTTATTGTGTTATAAGTTTGTCGAACTGTATATTATTTTTGGTTCGTTGATGGACATTAATACATTCTAATTAGTTGGTTTACATATTTTCTTTATGTGTTGGGACAGGCCTCTTGTCTCGCATGCATACTGGTATTTGTTTCGTAAAAGCATTTGTCCTTGATAAAGTTCACTTCCATTCTTTTACCGAAAATAAAATACAAGTTCACTCCCATTGTAGAGATTTCACTCTCTTTATTCATTAAGGACTGTAAGAAAAGGAGGAAGATGAACGAGACAATGAAAAGGTTTAGAGATTGATTACTAGTTTGAAAGGTATGTCAATAACTTTTCTTCTTGAAACATGGAACTAATGAACAAGAAAAATACGATTGGGCCTCCATTTTCCTTTTGCAATCAATATGGATCAGGACTATTCGATCTTAACAAATGAGGGATCAACTATACTTCTATCCACGTCCTAATCTTATAAGATTTCTATATAGCTCCATCTCAATTCGAAGGAAAATGCTAGGCTTACCATATTTTTCATACCACATTCATACCACCTCTCTAATAGATGTGGGCCCCATTGTATTGGTGGGCTCCACCTCTATTAGAGAGGTGGTATGAATGTGGTATGAAAAATGTGGTAAGCCTAGCATTACCCCAATTCGAATGTCTAGTTCTTAAGCAGCGGGACCAGTGTCGATAGAGCCTCTCTTTGTTTTCTTCTTCTTCTTTTTTTTTTTTTGTTTTTTTTTTTTCAGAGTGTCAATAGAGTTGGCCAATGAGAATGTTGGGTACATAAGAAGAGTGGAATGTTAGGACTCAAGATCCTATATATAAAAAAATAGCATATTTCAGGACTCGTGTAAAAAAAATCTTAATGCAAGAGCCCAAAATGCCGAGATAACATTTTCAATAAATTTCCGGATTGTTTAAACAAAACAAAAATTCTGTTTGTGGGAACACATATTTTTTGCAGCCATTCAGTTTGAGACATGTGGAAGATGGAATATTCCTTAGGTCAAATAATTATGCTAATTAAATCCTATTTAATTAGCCAATTATCTTGATTTAAGATAGTAATATCTCCCTACATCAAGGATTCGATTTTCACCAAATCTCCTTAATTTATCATATCATCTTTTTCTATATAAAACAATGATTTACCATAACTCACATATGAGGTAATTCTGAAAACCCTAGCAAAAACACAAGGCTCACATGCCACCTCTCAATCATCTCTCTCACTCGGCTTCTCGCCGTCTCTCTCTCTCTCTCTCTCTCTCTCTCTCTCTCTCTCTCTCTCTCTCTCTCTCTCTCGGTGTCCGCTCCTCCCTATCTCCTCGAAGAGAAAACTTCATTATTTTAGTATAATCTTCATTTCCTTAAGACCATTTACTGATTTAAGCATCAGAGTTATTCGATTGACCACCATTATTTTGCAGAGTTCGAGGCAAATGACATTCAAGAGATGCAAGGATCTTCTCCAAATATTATAGGGGAGGAAAATTGCATAAACATATTGGTGCTCTCAATGAAAGCACCAATTTGTTTGTGCAAATTTCCTCCCCTGGAATATTTAGAGAAGATCCTTGCGTCTCTTTATTATCTTCTCCCTAGAACCCTGGAAAATAAAGTGATCAATCGGAGAGCGCCAGTGTGGTGTTAGCCAAGGGCCCTCCGATGCTTAAGTCAGTACAAGTCTTAGGGAGATACAGATAATACTGAAAGGATGTAATTTTCTCTCCGAGGAAGGAAGGTGGGGTGGACACTGATATAGAGAGAGAGAGAGAGAGAGAGAGAGCAAAAGTAGCGTGTGAGCCACTAGAAGTTACCTCATGTGTGAAAATAGCTTGCCTCTATATATCCTCCTTGTTTGGTATGATTTATGGGTAAATCAATGAGATTGAATGAAAATCGGATCTTGATTTATGGAGATATTTCCATTTTAAATCTTAATAATTGGCAAATTAAATGGGAATTTAATTGGCACAATCACATGACCTAGGGAATATTCCGTCTTCCACATGGCGTCACCTGAGTGGTTGCCGAAATTATGTGTTCCCACACCGTTAACAAACAAAATCACATATAGTACATAGACTCCCACATTCTTATATATGGTTTAACAATTTACCTTAGATTTATCGTAAGATGCGTGTGTCTTTTTCGTAATTTCCATTATCACTGAGAGTACATTGCAAAATGCGATGGAGAGCATCCACCATTTGCAAGACTTCAAAGTTTACACACATTTGGCAAATCATTATCTTCAGACCTTCCTGCTTTATTAAGTTTCCTTCTAAAAGTCCCTGACCAGTAACGCCAAAGCTCAGAACAACTCCCATTAAATAATACTAGTACCAATGTCCTCTTTTATATAAAAATAATAATAATGATTGCTATATGCCTAGTCCTTCTGCTTCGTGTGTGTGAATTTTTACCAAGGACGACAAAGACTTGAGAAATTATGCTTTCTTTCTAGTACTGGAAACTCCGTGGAGAAATCAAAACTGCTACTGTTCTGTATGGGGTCGCAAACCCTACTTATACATATGACATCTAAATCTTGTGGTGGGCATAAATGGTGTAGCCATTGTTTCAATGTAGCATCCGTAACCAAGTACTTTTCACTGTAGTTAAATCATAATTAACTATTTTTTGTAGCTGTTGACTCGGTACAAGTCATGATGTGATGTAAATCACACATCAAATAAACTAGTCTCTCCGCACGCACTTCAAAAGATAATGGGTAGTTGTGTTCCATAAAAATATGATCAATTATATGAATTTTCTTTTAATTTTTAATTTTTTTAAATATGAAAATTATGAATTTACCATATTATCCCTCCGCACGCACTTCAAAAGATAATGGGTAGTTGTGTTCCATAAAAATATGATCAATTATATGAATTTTCTTTTAATTTTTATTTATTTTTTAATATGAAAATTATGAATTTACCATATTATCATCATTTAATTAATATTTTTAATTCTTAATGTTTGCATTATTAACCAAGGGCATTTTCTAGTATTTTGAATGTTTCACCATTCTCTGTCTTTTGATTTATATATATAGATACACCAATAATCTTAAGTTCATGTATGGGTAGTTTACAGATAATTGTACAAAAGCCTTTATTCATTGGGCTTAATCATCCAAAATAATATATTATTATTATTTTTTTAACACAAGTGGTAGTCTCTAATCTATAGGAGTAGGGGAGTTTCTTACATACACACTACTAAGGTGTCATGGAAGTTCGAACATGAGAACACTAATATGCCAATTAAGATAATTTTTAATTGAATTAGATCTCGTTGACAAAATAAGATATCGTACTTTTTAATCATGTAATGATCTGCAAGCCCATTTAATATCGGATTCACAAATTGAAACCCTATTTTGAAAAAGTAAATCCGTTAGTAGACCCAACTGTCATAAAAGTGTTTGTATAATGAGTACACATTTGCACTAATAGAATTTTCTTACCAAGAAACAAGAAGAATGATGAGAAAATAAACTTTTTGAGCAACATGAAATATTTTGAAAAGACATTATGGTCATGGGATACTTATAAGCCCGGAGACACTCATAATTTTGTCCTCTCAAGAATTGGCAAATATTACCCTCAAAAAATAAAAAAATAAAAAAAGAAGAAGAAGAAGAAGAAGAAGAAAGAATCTGACCGTACCTCTGTTCCGCCCTGTGAGACACTTTATGTTACTGCCTATATCATCAATAATTTGATGTGCTTGCTCATGCATGTCTGTCATGTTTTTGCTCCTTTCGACAGGTGTGTAGGACTGAACATAGATTTTTTTTAGATCTCATAACTCATAATTAAGGTAGATTTTCAAAGTTTAAACAGGAATTTGAGTTTAATCGAACTTCTTCGATCATGAGTTAAACATCCATGGTCGAAGAAGATTCTGTATGTAATAACTTTTAAACAAGTAATTCAATTAACACAGTGTTTTCGTGACTGATTCAAATTAAGAATCCGAACACAAAAAATTATCTCGTAAAATCACACGAGCACTTCTTTATAACACCTTACCAACTTCCTAAGAATAGGTAGCTGAATTCCGTGAGTAGTTTGAAGAAGAAGAAAAAGGAGAGTTACCGACTTACCCCATATCCATATTTGTGACATTATTTTGCGTGGTCCTCCAGCCACAGAACACACAACGAAACAAAACCCTTTGCCTCCACAACACACACCTACCAATTCATCATTCACATTTCATATCAAACTACCAACTCCCTTTTTTTTTTCTCTCTCCAGCTGTAGTTGCAAACGGGCAAAGACTATTTTCCTCGTATCACGTGCGTTGCACGTGACCAGACCTGCAAGTTCTCTCCATGCCATGCCCCACGTATCAGAACTAGGAGCCTACAACAAGTATCCACGTGCAGGGTTTGAAAAGTATGCTCTCTGTGCCACAAGAACAACCCACAGCGACAGTGGCTTTAAGATCAGTCTGCAGTGAAAATTGCGGGGGGCCTACAAATCCCTTCATCACAAAAATATGTTGATTTCAATTTCAACTTCTGAGTTCACTTTCCATGCTACCTTCAAATTCAATATTTTATACTCAGTTTTCCAATTCTCATATGTGTTTCAATTTAGTCATTTCGTTAAATTCCGTTCAATATTTTGACGTAATTATTCTCTAATAATGACTAAATTGAAAAACGTTAGAGAATTGAAAGCCTCTTAATGACTCAAAAACGAGTTAGAGTATCAAATGAAACTCTGGTATTGCCATTGCGGTTAAAATCCCTAATTTTATCCTCACAATAGGAATTCAGAGGGTTATGCCAATCAAATATGTTTTGCTTCTTCACATCTTTTGGCTTTCATAGTAAATCTTCTTCACGGTTAAATTGGGAGTTTAAAAGTTGCTACTCTTTCAATCATACTTTCTCAGTAAATCTTTTCAATAATATAATGGTGAGGTACTGAGTATAGCTAGCCAGGAAGTGTGGCATGTGCTTTGGTT